CAGCTGCCCCCTCTGTCACACATCTGACATCTCTTCTCATTGCTTAATAGAAAAACAGGAAGAAATATTCATGCGTTGAGACACGTTGAGACACGCTAATATATTTTCTTCTCATATTATTTGGGGTTACTTTTTTGTTCACTTCCCAGTACTGCACAACGAAACTTAACACTGCAAGAACCCTCCAATGACAAAAAAAAAAGACTGCTGGCAGTTTCTCTCCAAGTAGACTGCATCTTCGGGTACCTTGCTGTTTCAAGAAGACCAGGAATACCTCATGTGGAGTAATGTGACCCAGTTTTTTCTTACTAACGTGCATCAGTTATTCTTAATTTATGTTCATTAATTTCACTTATTATGTTCTGTGAAGCAACATTATGGCCATCAACTGTCTCAAACATAATAATGTTTTTAATAGTTATGGAGATGTTTAGATGTAATCGAGTTCAATGAGAGGTCTCTTCATGTAGAACAAAGGCTCTTAATCAGCAGCAACACTTTTATGAGAAAAAGAGAAAAGGCTGGAAATATTCATGTCTACAGGTAGCCTCCAAAATATCTTCCAGACTTGCTCAGTGAAATTTAAAGAGAAGCTGAAAGAGGACTTATTGCTTGAACTCTAACTGCTCAAACAACACACTAAAAATCATGGGGGTTAACATGATCTGAAACCCGTGTAGTCGTAGTTTCTTGGGTGTTCGGCTCATACAACCTCTTTTAAGTCTCAAATAAAAGAACAGTTAAATACAAGGTTAATTAGAAATTGTTTCTAAATACTTAAGGAGTGTCGAGAGGGAGATATTTAAATAAAAAAAAATCCTAAAGATCATCTTAAAACTGCTCTACCTTGGAAAGAAAGTAATAAGAACCAAGAAGCTAACATATAGCTGGAGATGCCATTGTAAAGAACTAGAAAATGTGAATGGATGAAACATCCCTAGGAGTCTTCAAAGCATCTTGGGTCTTGCTTCACACTGATGTATGGGGAAGTTGTACTGTTGATTTGTGATCTAGGAATGGTTTTGTGCACCGCCATAAATAAATCAGGATTTCAATAATAAATCATGATAGTACTCCCCACTTCTACTTGGAGGCAAGAAATAAAGAGCCTTAAAAAATTAACAAAAAATAAAGAAAGAAAAAAAGAGAAAAGCATCTTGTTAACAGAACTAGAGATATGCACTGGTGTCATTCTGACAAGTGAATAACATCACAGCAGTTAATCGCTCACTATTTGGTATCATCTTCTACAATTGTCTAGACCTTCTTCTGCAACTCAACAAATTAATTTAAGTGTCTTTTCATTACCTGTAGCTCTGGAATAACGGTTCCTCTTTCGGGACAGGACCCTCCAAATGCTGTCAAGGGTGAAGGGAGTACAATTGGATTTGGGCTGATAAAACCACTGATGTCACAAGATGGTGTGTCCGACTCCGTTCTTTGCATTACAACTTTGTCTACGATGATAAATCTATTCCAAGGCAACCAAAGTGTCCTTTTTTCAGATATGAAAGGAGATCTGTCAAAAACTAGAGTGACAGAGATGCCTCCAACAGCCACAAGGTCAAAACTGGAAAAGAGAAAACTTTTTATCATCGTATTACCGCAAATTTCAATGCATCACAAACAAAAACTTCATGTTGCTCATAAATTAACTATGTGAAATCATTCAAGTATACCTTCCTGGCATCACGGTATTCATGAAGAAGCTTTACTGCTCTGTGCTTTCTCCCTGTACGCATCGATAGCAAAGTACAGTACTTCACGGTTGCTTGGCCTACCTCCCCTCTATTTATCAACTAGAATCAATACTAATGAGTCATCTGTAACAAAAGCGTGGACCCAGTTACTTTGGTTCACATGAAATGAAATTCCTAGCTCTGAAAAGGGATGCTACTCATAACCTATGGAGGTGCAGCCTGCAGAATAAGAAGTCTTAAAGCCTGTTAGGCCTTTTCTCTAGTAACATATCCTTTCCCCTTTTTCTAAAAGTAGCAGCAGGCGAGTACACCGAGCAGGAGAACCCTCTGTGCAGGATATGAAATTTTGGGGAAAGATGCCAATTAATTGCACTGAGAACTGAATCAGCTCTTGTACATAAGGCAGGTGATCCTCTGGGAGCTATTGTGAAGAACCTTTGGCATATCTGGGCTGCAAAACAGTGGGGCATCGAAGGCACGATATAGAGAGTCCTAATTTCCTGAGTTTCTGACACCCACAGTCAGGCAACACAAGGTAATATGTAAATAGATACTTCACTCTCTGTATTATTGAATGCATCTATTATGGAGGCTTTTGATGGTAACAAACTGTGATAAGAAGTCAGACTTAATTATGCATATCTCATCACATTTCCCAAATGACACCGCTTACATTCGCAGCAAAATACAGGTAGCATATTTTAATGCAACAACTTTATCCAGGCTAGCGTAAAGAGGAAATGATAATTACTAACTTTCAGTAGCACGATTTGAAAGTCAATAAACTAAGGTAAAATAAATATGCATGCTCCTCACTTTCATAAATTGTCAAAGCCAAACAAAAAAAAAATTGGGGAAGCAGTGACAAATTACACTCCTTCTCTGTTGGAAGATAGCTTCTGATTTCTTGTAATTCACCACGCAGCCAAGGAAGATGAAGTCTTAAACTGCCCTTAGCAGCTTAATTCAAGTTCAGGAGCAAATCATGACCCTATTGCAAATGGCTGGCCAACCCCAGAGTGCAATATAGAATATATAGGAACTTCTTCTCTCCCTGCGAGCTGAACTCAGCCCTACGAGGCCGGGGAAGAAGGTGAAGCCAGGATTGCTCAGGACTGGTTATGGAACAGCAGTGTAGCCATTTGGGCTCTGGAAAGAGTCTGTCCTCACTTTTACTTGTGTGGCTCAGGTGATCAATTAAAGGAGTTAAATTCATTGACACCTCAATAAACTACTAGGAAGATTCACACTTAATAACAGAAAAAAAAGAGGGAAGACAGGGAATTCTCTGGAAAATCTGACCAGAGAAAATATTCACATGCCAAGAAGGTACTGTTAGAGCAGTACTGTTTGACTCCAGGTGTTTGAATGTCACTGTAATCTTGTTGCTGTTCAGGTTTTTTCTTCTTCTCTTTCTTCTTTGGTCCCCTGACCACAGAGAGCTCTAACTAAACATGCTCCCAGAGCAGAGGGCCAGATGCCATCTTCAACCCACACTACAAGCAGCAATGTCTGTGAAAATTTTGTACATGAATAGAAGGTGGCAGATGGCCCTAACGATACAAATCTAAACCAGTGAAGGACCATACATGAAGGTCTGACCTTCCATCCTGTCGACTGATGGTGTATCCATACTCATTGTGGTGCAGAAAACTGACGTTCACTCCAACCAAAGGTGTTCCATCTATTGCTACCACCTGGCCTCGAATGACACATGCCCGTCTGTAACAAAAAGAGTAGAAGGCAACATGTTAGACACATCAGGAGCGGGAGAAGGGCACTGATTTCAGAAACTGTGGTATACTTCAGTCCCAGACAGATAGAACAACCCTGATATCATTGTGACTGTTGATTTTGAATGAAAATTCAAACAAGTCCAAAAGATTGATTTGAAAAACCATTATCTCATGAAGATGACACACAGATTCTCCCATGAATTGCTGGTGTATCAAGAATATATTTCCATTTCCAACTATAGTTCAGGACACCATTTGTTCTGCCATTGAACAGCACTGCAAAGGTTTCACTGATAGTGTCATTTAGCTTGCTGCAGCTCTAGGGGTGATGATTTGTGAAAGGGGAGAATGAAACCTCATTCTCTGCTGCTAAGAATAGGGCATCGCTGTCTATGAGAAAAAAGCTGAACTAATGCGATAAGGCAACAGTGAGACACATGGCCTTCATCGAACTTCAGAAAGTTATACAGGTAAATTCAGAGAGCACCTAATCAAGTGTAACATACATTTTTCTCAATCCCCCATCATACGTTATGCCCTTTTAGATTCCCTCTGGGATGTGCTGGACTTGCACCCGCTTTCCAGCATAAAAATCTTCCCATTCCAGTAAAGAGGTTGGAATATGGCAGCACAGCAGAATGCATCAAAGTCAACGGACAGGAAAGTGAATTCATTACTAAGTGCGTCTAATCGGAGGCTAACGGGATCACAGAATCATAGAAAATGAGAGCTGAAAGGAAATACAAGATTTTATCTTGTCCATTCCTTCGCCTCAGGTAAGATCAACTATACCTACATTACTCCAGACAGATGCTTGTCTAACTCTATAACCTCAACAAGTAACCCATTCCAATGCTTCTGCATGAGTGCTGTATTCATGGCAAGTTTTTGCTACGGTCTAATTTGAATCTTCGCTGCTGCCGTTTAAGACCATTACTTTCATCCTAGCCACAGAAATGCTGAAGAAATTACTCTCTTTTTCTCAGCTTCAGCCTTTTATGTGTTTGAAGACTCAAACGTAAAGAAGACAAGTCTCATCAAGGATGGGGAATAAGACGTAAAATACCCTCACGGTGCAGATCCCTAGTGGGATTTTCTAAGGGCTTACGCAGCTACATTCCACTGAAACACCTTTTGGTATTTTGTCCCGTGCCGTCAGATAAGCTCCACGAGCGTACCTCCACTGGCTGAATGGATCCAGGTCTTGGGATCTAATGATGCAATTGCATGTGTTTCCTGGAACTTTGATTTCACATAATGAAGTGAACAGTGTATGCAAAAGTCTTTTGATAACGTTAAGACATTTAGAGGGACAAAACCAATAGAATACTTATAAAGGTAACTGGCATTAATTACTCAATATAAACAATAAGCATAAATTTAGACGTTGTTACGTTTCTCTTTCAATTTGAAAGTTTATGGTAGACCTCAACAGACACATCCTACCTTTACACAGTTAGTATGTAATCGAAAGGAAAAACTTAATAGCTACTCAGGTGAAAGTTATTTTGGATTCTATAAATGAATTTAAAAAGTATCCCTTGAGAGATTAATTGATCATGATCCAACGAAATCATACACACAGATTAGAGACCATAAATTTCTGAAAATTCTGACTTGTTTCGTAAGATCCCATTCTCCAAAACCACTTGACAGGGCACTGATTTATCACTATGATATCATCAAACCCAGTTGACTATGACCTGAGAAAATGTAACTGGTAAAAATTAACCCCTTTGTGAGTATGCCATTCACCACAGCTAATACGAATTCCAGGCTCCCAGGACACAGAAAGATGCTGATTTTCAGCAAAGATGTTGATAAATCCCAGAGGAATGGGAGAGGCTCCATTAATGCCAGTATGCAAAACAGAGTTCTGATTTACCACCTTTTTGTTTTCTACATGAACTAAATTAATCACCGCTCTATCTGTGGGCAAAACCCACTGCTCCACTGAAGGCAATCAAGCTTTTGTGTGTCTCAACAGACTCACAAGACTCACTCAACAGTACAGCCAGGTTCAATTACTCTTTGATTTGTTAGAGCAGAAAGTACTGATTTCTGTTGTTTTCTCATATTTCTAACATCAACAGACCTGCCTTACCTTTTCTAATCTCTTTACTAGTACACCCTGTATATTTACAACACACATTGGTGTGAGAGAGGCCCCTAAGAGTCATCATCATTCAGTAGTTATTCTCGTACTCCTGTTTGTTCATTCCACACAGACCTGTCTTCTGACTCTACTCTGTCCTCGTATTTTATCAAGAACACAGATTTGTGATAACAACTCAAAGTCTCCATTACTTCATACACAGTTGTTCTTTCCTCTACTCATTCACTTTACTTCTCATTATTCATAAATAATATTAGACTTATCTTTCAACTGTCTTGCTCCTTTTTTATTCATCATATTTTACAAGCCACACACATTTTACAGTATGTAAAAGTATAAAGACTCACAAACCTCATTATTCTACATTTATCTGTATTGAACTGTCTTTGCAACCTTTTAGATTTTAAATGTTCTAAGCCTGCCTCTGTTGCTACATTTGTCCTCATTATTTACTGTCTTTTTATTACCTACTCTAAGTTGAAGAATCTTCTACTCTCTGGCCTCTTCTTGAATTACCAGCACCTGACTAATTTTTGCATTTACTGCAGGTATGAAAACATTTTTCAGTTACTTTATGACCAGCACTGATCTCAAAGGCTCCGGGAGGTAACAAAAAGCCCCCCAGTCTGCAGCAGGTTCTCCCTCCTTTCCAACGCTCTGACAGGTCACGAAGTGGACCACCACAGCCAGAGGCACACTGGTGTGCAGGTTGCCTGCAGCTTTGCTGCTTGCAGACGACCTCACTTAATTCCCTTCCTTACCAGAGCTTTTAGAGCACATTCCCTGCAGTGATGTCACTCCATACTCAACTACCACTTCACGCTTCCTTGCTTCAACATTCACCCTCTTTCCAGATGAGATTGCTACCACTCACTGCTTTTCTTACTTTTAACAGAGAAACCTCTAAGGATCACTATGCCTCCTCAATGTATGTCCCTCTTCTATTCTCAGCCTCTAAGACTTTACACACTTGTGACTGGCCTGCTTTTCTTTCTCACAGGGGATAACAACTCATACTACTTGTCCAACAGTCACCTACTTGCAACGATTGCATAAGCCTGGACTAAGGCTGTCCAAGTTGTTTTAACTTGCAAGTAAGTGCAAAAATGTCTTTTCTAATTTGGAGGAGCTGGGAAGGAACATGTCCCTGATAAGCTGCCTTAGTGTTTTCAAATGCATTAAAAATGTTTCTAGTCCCCTGGCAAGCTGTACTAAATCTGCAACTCCAGAGGGAGCAGTTGGCTTTTTGAGAGAAAGCAGAGATTCCCACGGGTTGCAGGTGGCCTAAAAGAAGTAGGATTTCTCTGTCAGTGCTTCATGGGTCATTCCACGTGTAACTGAGGATCTCAGCTCTGCGGGTCTCAGCTCTCTGCCATCATGCAGTTTGTTTGACATCTCTAATTTAAAATATAAATAGAAGTTTAAAATTCTAGATGTGTTCTTTCACTGCTTGTAAAGCCTTTTATTATTCCACCACCATTCTGCCTTGCTCTACTGCTACTTATCTGCTGGTTTTTTTGCTTTTGTTTTGTGTGTTAAGTTTCCAATAGTCACTGAGCACCTCAGGCTGAGATGTTAGGCTCAGATGCGGAACTGTCAAGCAACTTGTGAATTCACAAGTGTCACATTACCAGTAGATGTCATTTACTATATTACATTTCTGATTAAAATCTTCAATCAGAGAAATTAA